CTCCAAACATTAATTTTAGCACTGCAGTGTAATTTACATAGACGAGTTGCAACTTTTTAAAGCTCTTATTTATCTTATTTATTTATTTTCTGGTACCGCATCAGGCCTTCACACACACACCCAGCGCTGTACACACACACACACACACACGGAGCTCCCAAAACTCTGCTCTGCATTCTGCACTCTCCTAGTGCTGCACTTTCAATCCAGAGCCGTAAGCAGCCTCTTGCTGCGCCTCACACACACAGGCTGAACTCAGCTTACACACACAGGAAGCTTGTCTACAGCTGTGCCTTTTCTCTTGATTCTGCAGCCTTCACTTCCCAAATCTTGCTCCAGCTACCTCTACTGTTAACATCTACCCCTTTTCCTTCATCGCCTTTTCTGCTGACTTTCTCAATAAAACCTCATTTCTCGTGGCTTCAACTGGGCTGCTTGTCATATTTTAAACATTACTTATTTTATGCAAAAACAGTTACCTTAGAACATTTTTCTCATCTCATGCAAAGGTCCTTGACCTTTCGAATTTAGGGAGCTCTCTTTAGCCTCCCAGGGCCTTAACCCAAACCAGGTCCTCGACCTGTGCCTTTAAAATTTAGGGAGCTCTCTTTAGCCTCCCAGGGCCTTAACCCGAACCAGGTCCTTGACCTGTAGAATTTTAGGCTTCCCACACCTATGGACTCCAACCAAGCATTATATAACCTCGTTATATATTCTATTCACTCGTCAGCAAATAGTGTGGTCAGCCACGACCTGGAAAATGGAATTTAGGGCTTCTCTAATAGTCCTGGGCCTCCAACCCTTCTCTAAGTGGAATTTAGGGCTTCTTATTGCCCTGGGCCTCCAACCCCTACTGTTCTGTTCTATTTCCTTATCTCATTTACTCATTAAATCATTAGAAAATCCTCATTTCATTTCACCATTAAACCATTACAAAAAAATCTCTTATTCTTTCTGCACTTGTCTCCACTTTCTTCTCCAACTATTATTTTAGGACCACAGCTACTATGATTCTGGACACAAAGGCTTTGGATAAATCCAATGAGCAGATTTTAGATAATAGGCTCTGCTCACCTTGTTTTCCACCGCGGTGTTCTGTGCCAAGATCGTTCGCTGGGTCAGTGGGTCGAATCGTTCTCCAAAAACTCCTTTTTCTTCAAAAAGAAAAAATCCTGTTCGTGACGCCAAATTTGTTGGTCTCTCTTCCGTTAGACCAAGCACGGGTACGGAGTAGATGGAGTTAAACACCTTTAAAGTTGTCAGAACGAGGAGACAAATGATCAGAAGTCCATTCACTGTTTCGCCGCTCATGAGGGGGAGAGTCTCTGCAGCAAGTCCCGCGACCTGCTCTTGCCAGATGCTTCGGACAGACTCTCGCCGTTCTGCTGAAAACGGCTGATTTTTATTGAAGATTACAGGAATGTTACATACGTAGTTTGCCATACACACACGTAATTCTGCCATCTGCACCTGCAGACGCACGTCAGCTAATAGCCTTGTTAATGAAAGACCAATTCATCCCAAGGACATGCAACCTTGAGATGATCAGGACACATCCTGCAACATCCTTTGCTAACAAAGACAGTTGTTCTTGTATTGAGGAACTGAAGGAAGGAACACTTTCACTCCCTTATGCAGCTGTTCAGCTTGAGCAGAAAAGGCACAGAGAGGTCTTTGATATTATAACAAGATTCCATGAAAAGGCATATAATAATGTATTTATGATAATATATAAGGGGCAAAAGTGAGAGATACATATTTAATCATATAAAAGAGCTTATAATAATATATGAAAGAGCTTATATGAGAGATATATATTTTCAGCGGACACACGGATCTTTGACCATGGTGGAACAGCGAAGCTTGATAACCTCTGCTATCCTTGGTCAGGTATGTAGCTCTAGTTTTTTTTTTTTTACCCAGCAGACAACCAACACGTTATGTTACAACCCATCTTAGACCAGGCAGTGTTATGGTAAACGCACAGAATTTTCCCCATTCAACCAGCAAACTATTAGCGAGAGAAATGCGGTTGAGTGACTCAAAGTGAAGCAGCGACAACAAAAAGAGCTGCAGTGTTTCTGTGGTCTCCCTCAGGGATCCTCTAATGACCAGCATGACTACAGCCTCGCATTGGAGCCGGCCCGGCTGTCTGGGGAAATGGAAACAGCCAGCCGCCTGCATCTGTTCCTGGGTAGCACACAGGAGTAGCTAGACACCCACTCAAGTTTCTCATGCAGCCCCACTTAACGTGTTTGACTAAGCAGTTAAATGACACAGAATTTCCCCCGCTCAACCAGCAAAATAAAATACAGAAAGATAATTTTACTTACTGACAAAAAGAAGCAGAAACTGCTTGGGTGACCTGTTAGTGCAGTCAATAACCACCGCTTGCCCTCTGTGTCCAAACAACTCCATGATTAACATCCAAACACGAACACACAGACAAAACTAAAGTTCAGAGAGTCGAGCTGGCCAAACATCTACCAACGTGAGGCTGAAGTCTTTCTCTGGTGCATTCACCATTCAGAAGTGTGAGCATTTTATTCCACTAGAACAGAAAAGTTACAAAAAATTCACCCCCTCAGAGTTGTCATGAATGTAAACTAGATCTATTAAACCTAAAATGGTTTATTTCTGCTGTGAATTTGGCATTTTTAACATCAATGAGGATTTGGTCACTAGTAGCCCCTAGCAGATGAGGGTGGGACTGCAACTTTTGCCACTTCCGTGTTGGTTTCAATTTCATTGCAGAATTATGGGGGCTTAATTTTTTATAAATCACCTGTAGACTGATCTAAAACTTCCACTATAGTTCATGTGCAAATAAAGTAGTTCCCCATGTATGAAAATGTACGTCCGTTAAAACCAAATGTATTTTATTTCAAAATTGAAAACAACTTCATTTCTTTGCAAGAATCCTAAAGTAATCTATAGTTTGCACCATGATGTAAGCTCCATATTGAAATAATTAACATGTATCTATTCTCTTCTCTCTATAGAAGAACTGAACTTATGCAACCTCTCTAAACAGAAAGCTGCTTAATTTACAAAAGGTCACCTTAACCTGCTCTGTACTGTTTTCATTATCTATCCCAAAATTTGTTTTAAAATAATAAAATTCAACAAAAGAAAATGTTCTTACACTTTTTAAAAGATAATGTATTTTTTCTAAATAATTATTATTGAAATCCACAAACACATTTAATGGATGTCCCAAACCATAGCCGTAAAACACGTTTCAGCAAAATCAATAAAAAATACGCAGAAAATTAGTAGTCATAAATGCACCAGAGCTTCTCTTTGTGACCAAAATACAGAAAAGCTCAGACAACGTCTTTAGAACTAGGAGGGTCACCCATTAACAGTTGAAGCCATTGTAAAAGAAAATAATCAATTAGCCACACGCATTTAAATCTGGAGCTAATTCTCCCTAAAGCTACATTTAATTAGACTAACTTTAATGATGGGTTCTCTCACTGTGGTAGCTAATAAGAGTTTGTCCTAATGGTGTTCATCAGGTGTGGGTAATAATATTATGGGATGCAGAGGGAATCAAGTGTTGAATTTATGCTTTGACGGGAAATCAGTGGAGCTACATTGTGCCCATAGGTTCCTTACCTGCATAACATTACTGCTGCTACAACAAAGCATTTTGCACAGCATTGTATTCATTAAAGATTTATTTCTGTGTTTATATTTTATACGTACATTTTCTTTTTTATTTTATTACTAGCATTACCTTTTTGAAGTCTTGTCTTTTATTTATCTGTACACCAAACACACAATTTGAGTGCTATTGCATTCTTATGCAGGGACACTAAAAGCTTTCTGATTCTGATTAGATACGGAGCCCACTTATAATAGAATCCTGCATTAATGTGACATTTCCATGACAAGAACATCCAGCAGTGTAGTTTATGTTTGTGTTTATGAAGAAAACACAATCAATATGAGCACAGTACGTGAATTTTTCATCAAAAATAGAGTTTATAAACAGTTAAATGCTGAATGCAAAATCGCGAAGTAATGGAAATGACTGGATGAATTGCATTAATGTAGGTCAGTAAACAGAGGGGGAATTAACAGCCGCAGCATTTCTTTACTTATTTGCTGATGGAAACAGCAGCAGTCTTTACTGCTCTGTTTCAACAGGTCACCAGCTGCCGTACTATAGATTCCACTTTATTTAAACCCATTTTCAAAGCATGTGTAAAGAAAAAAAGTAAAACAGATGCTTGACCTAAATGCAGCACTCCTGTGATGTATAATAGTCATGTAGTGTGACGCATCACCCTCTATTACACTATATTTGTGCACACGCATGTTTACACACATTGTCATGTCTCACTCCTAATGCATGTCGTGTGTTGTTCTTGTAGACACAGTGGATTGACTTAAGGTGTAAGTACTTCAGGTTGCCATGCAGAGAGCAGGATGTGGAGCATTTAGGTCATTCACATATCAGGTGTGTATCTGTGCTATTATAAATGCTGACCTATGGTGGATGAAATGTAGGTCATAAATGATTTTAATTAGTCAAATGCAATACTCAGTATGTGTTCAATGCCTGTGCAATACCATATTTACATAGTATGTCCGTGTCCCTTACAGTATGCTGCATAGTTCTGGAACACAGTTTTTCATTTTTTATTTGTGGCTTTTTAGTGGCCGAAGGCTACAATTCTAGCTTACTGCCTATGTGTATGTACATGTGCCTTTGTTATTATTTTTCTTTAAATTATTTTCTTAAGTGTTGGTGCTGCTGTAACATGAGAATTTCCCCACTGTGGGCTCTATAAAGTCTACACTGTTCTAAATATTATTTAAAAAATATGTTTTGTGTAAATAAATGTGATAATTATATGTATTAATTTGATAAAATACGGGAACTATCTAACTAAATAAAGAAAATAATACATTTTCAATGACTAAAGAAGAATGAAAACCATTGGTGTTTTAATAGATCTGAGCTCTCCAAGCTCGTTTTTTTAAGACTCACGTATGACGCAGATAACCTGCGACGAGGAGAATGATGGCGGTAGCTCCACCGAAGCTTGAGAAGGAAACCGAAGACAGCTCTTTGTTGCCTTTAGTTCATGATATTATAAAATGGTAAGTGCTTACGTGGTGCCGCGTGTGTTGCTTCTGCGTGTGTTATTGTGGTCAACCTCTTCATGTGTTGGGAAAACCGTGTTTGTTGGAGTAACTGTACGTGTTGATGTGTTTGCGGAAGCTAAACGTAACTACTCTCAGCTGGGATTGTTCACCTAAACGTGTTTGAAAGTTAAAAGAGGCGTTTCTTGTTAACGTTATAAGGAGCGTACTTTGTTCCCGGTTAGCAAGTTTGGACCCAAATCTCTTTTAGCGATAAATGTTACAGACTAGACTTGCGAATTGTTGACGAATACCTTATTGTTCTCCCTCAGGCTGGCTACGGTATTGTGGCAGGCCAATATAACATATAGTCAAACCACACTAAAGACTTTCCACGTTCAATAATAGCATTTCCCATGACAACACATAAATTGTAAGTGTTTATAAATCATCAAATTTTACAAGATCGTTTAAACGTTGTTTGTGCCAAAATTTATTCTCCTATGCAAATATTTGAAATCAGATTTTTCTAGTTATAATTATATCACATAAGTTCCAGTTTTACATTCTAAGCCTACAAAGTTGTGCCTTGCACGTTATACAGCAGTTCTGCTGATTTTGAGGACAGGTGCTGCTTTTTTAAATTATTGCACATCTCTGAACTAACTACCAATTTTTGCTAATTCCAATCTATCTCAAATAATTATGGTAAATGGTAAAATGCCTGTATTTGATATAGCGCCTTCTAGAGTCCTGGAACCCCCCAAGGCGCTTTACAACACAATCAGTCATTCACCCATTCACACACACATTCACACACTGGTGGGGATGAGCTACGATGTAGCCATAGCTGCCCTGGGGCGCACTGACAGAGGCGAGGCTGCCGAGCACTGGCGCCACCGGTCCCTCCAACCACCACCAGCAGGCAATGTGGGTTAAGTGTCTTGCCCAAGGACACAACGACAGCGACAGACTGAGCGGGTCTCGAACCTGCGACCTTCCGATTGCGAGGCGAGCACTTAACTCCTGTGCCACCGTCGCCCTAATTATAATTATAATGAAAAAAATACAATATTCTTTATGAATCAGTTGAGATTAGCTAAAAAATGTATTCTTGAAGTAGAAACGTCCTCACTGAAGAACTGTTATAGTGAAAATTTGTGTTTAGTGATGGTGGTTCCAGATCAAACATTAAAATATACAATAACCCTTATCTTTTTCTTTTGAAGCTTGGACAAAGACAACCAGGATGTCCATGCAGAGCTGGCGAAGCTGAAGGCAAAAATCCAGGAAGCTCGGGAGCAGATCTCCAACATGCCAGGAATAGACAGCAGTCCGCTGGAGCAGCAGCAGCAGCTGACCACGCTGAGGGAGCAGGTCCGCACTAAGAACCAGCTGCTGCAGAAATACAAAGGTCTCTGCATGTTTGATGTGCCAAAACCATCCTGAGGCTAAAGCTTCCAGCACTGTTAGATGTTACTATTGACAAAATAAATATGGACAAGAGACAGAGGCTTCAATAAAGAGGGATGGAAGCTCTCTCAGCTGCATCTTAATGCAAGATGTTTTTGTTGGTCTTGTAAGAGTTTTGTGTTCATTTCTTTGTGTTTTTATAATTAAATGTTTTTCATGACTTCAGTGTTTTGTTTTCTAACTGAAACGGTTCTCCATCTCTTTATGCTCATACTGTATGTGACTCTTAACAAATAATGTCTTTTTTTATAGAAACTAAGTGGGAAGTTTCAAACTTAAAAAAATGAATTCATTCAGATGTTTTCCCTCTGCTGGTGTGTGAAGTGACATGTATTTAAACCACCAGGAACAACATGAAACAGGAGGTCAGATTATAAAAGTAGCAACCATTTTATTTTCTCTTAATGCAAAACAAGGACATAATAAATACACAGAATTCAAATTGTTCATTCTGCAACAAACATTCAAGTTAGACAAAATGTAAACTTTTTCACTTCAGTGCCACTTTTGGAAAGCGGACAGACTGTACAGCATCTTTAGAGCGTAATGCACCCCTCAACCCAAGTTGGATCAAGATTTCAACAGTTTTTGGTCTCGTGTTTTGTAAGCACAACAGTTCTTTCAGCCTTAGAAAGGCTCCTGCACACTGTCAGCAGATGGTGCAGCCTTTCTCTTTGGTCTGACTGCCTCCTATCGTTTTCTCCTTAATGTACATCAGGTCACTGTGCACACTCGGCCTCCGCGCAAACGGTGCCACAATCCCATACGCGTTCCCGTCTTTGTACTTCTTATTTCTGAATGATTTTCTGTGCAGAACGTGGCAGTACTGCAGGGAGACTTTGCGATGGCGGTCGGGACTCATCTCGTTCGGCAGCTTGGCCATAGTGAAGAGACTCTGAAACATCTGGTCAATGTTGGTGTTCTTCTTTGCAGATATTTCAAAATATGCACACTGTTGGTCTCCACTGACCAGCTGCTCTATCTCCTCGTCCTGCACCTCCCGGTAAAAGTCTCTGTCGCACTTGTTGCCGCAGATCACGAGCGGAACATCAACTTTCTCCTTAGTTTTATTGCGCAGGCAGGACTTGGTTTCGTGGATCTGACCCTTCAGGCGCTGCACCTCCTGGAAGGAGTCTCTGTTGTCGAGGCTAAATACCAAGATGAAAACATCACCTGGAAAACACAATAAAAGACATGTTTTAGTATAAAATGCAGAAAGAGTGGGTTCAACATGCGGCTTGGCTGGTTTAAAAGCACTAAACTCACCAGTTAGAATAGAAAGTCTCCTCATTGCAGGGAAAGGATGGTTTCCAGATGTGTCCAGAATGTCCAGCTGGTAAACGTCCCCCCTGATGCTGTAGAATTTCCTGTGGAAGTCTTCAATAGTCGGCGTGTACTGGTCATCAAATCTCTCGTTGAGAAACCGAGAGATGATGGCTGTCTTTCCAACTTTAGTTGAACCCAGGATCACCATCCGGTGGCAGTTCTTGTCCGGTATGTCGAACTCATTCTCGGACTGAGACATTTTTTTGATCATGATGGTAGCGAGCTGCACCCGGCGCTCAGTGGTGCTGCGGTAAATACCGGGGAGTGCTCGAAGCGGTCTCACCTCGCTTTGCTTGTAGCTGGATGAGCTCAGGCTGGGAATTTATAGGACAAGAGTGCCGCGCCTCCAAATGCGTCATGCGTCACCCTGCAAAGCTGTCGGGGAGCTGGAGAAGGACAGAAAAGCACGGTTCTGTGCGTCAGCTCCGCGCGTCCCTCCTTCAAGGGAAACGGGGGGAAATCTTATTTGTATGCATATATTGCTGCATATTTTCTTAGTGTCTGAGACAGCAATTGTTGTTATTTTGCGCATGACCAAATTCTCTGAGACCGACAGCGATTAATCTCTAAAGCGCGCGCGCCTATTTTATGTGTAAACAAATTTTCTGTGGCAAGAGGAAAAAAGTTAGGTTGATGAAGGAGCTCGCGCAAACCCCATGTTAAAAGTTGGAGATTCCAACTATTCTTCATTCTTGCCTTGTGCCCATCCATCCAAACGAAAATTCAACATCTGCCACTGATGGTTGCTTAATTAAAGCAGCTGAAAACGAGGCTGTTTGACTTAGACTCCGCTCATCCACCATTTCGGCTCCTGCCACCTAATCGTCCCCTTTCACCAGGTAATCTCTGAGATGAAGAATGATACTAAAAGAGAAAGTCCTGAATCTGATTTACACTGTAATGATTCAGCACTCCTCTCTTTTCCTGGTAGACTGTCATATTTAACACTTTTGTGAAACTTTTGAGACTTAATAAACAACAAAAAAGAAAAAGAAAAGAGACTCATTGGGGCAGGGGCGTAGCACCAAATTCTGGGCCCTGTACACTCTCAATGTCATTGGGCCCCATTCGGCACATGAACATAAAAGTGGTTTTATTTGTAAAAGTTAATAAATAAATAAATAAGGTATTACACAACATTCAGTTATATATGGATTTTTGCCAGCTAATTCTCATATACTTAGAGGGATGTCCCACCCCTAAGTACAATTGTGTCTGTTGGCATGCTACCCAGAGTTAGATAAGTGATAAAAAGCATTTTGTAACCAGCCCTGTCATTCTACTGGTCTACAAAAGGCTTGTTGTCACTTACATTTTTTAAGCTAAACTAAAGCTAACTGACTGTTGCCAGATCAGGAGAATGGCTGGGCTGGTTACAAAATGCTTTTGATCACTTATCTAACCCTGGGTAACATGACAGACACAATTGTACTTAGGGGTGGAATGTCCCTTTAAGCTTCATCTAGTTTATGAAGTAACAATTTGAGCCCTGACACGTGCAAATTTGATTTCAAAATATTTATTCTTAAACAGGAGACAACTTTACACTCAGAATGAATTCAAATAGGCTACATTACTTCTATAATGAGAAGGCACATTGGAAATGGAAAGAATTGTTGTTTTATGCAATATGAAAATAAAGTTGACACTGGCTTCTGGTTCTTATTATATAGACAGCCTTAAGTACAGAAGATTTACAGAAGATGTAAATATGTATTTACATCGCAGTAAATGCCCACTGACGGGCCTTTTTGTTTGCAAAGTCTCTTACGATATCAGAAAAGTTAACTTGTTTGGCTAGTTGGCTTTCTATTGACAGAATGGGAATGCTGTTCAGTCTGTCCTGGGCCATTGTTGATCTCAGGTAGTTTTTAACCAGCTTCAAATTGCTGAATGCCCGTTCACCCCAGCAACTGTTACTGGGAGAGTGCAGAAAATTCTCTAAGCAATACAAAGCTCACCAAAAATGCTCTGTAGCTGCATCTTCCAGATAGCATTAAGGAGCTCAAGAGGGGACAGATTCTTCTTTGTTGTGTTCTTTCTGTGTTGAAATTCTAATTCCATCTTTTAGTTCTTTTTTAAAACACAGAAAGGTTTTATTTACCTGCAACGTTTCGTTTGCGGCTGCAAACTTCGTCAGGCTGACGCTGATGGTGGCGTCACTTCCTTCTCCATTTATCCGCGGGCAGCAGAGGATGTTGTCGCCCTCTGCTGCCCGCTCTCCCCTCTCCGACGATGCAGTCCCATGAGCGATCCAACGAGTAAACTCCATCGTCCCTGTTCATGGTCCCACATCCACATCTCCTTATCTCGATAGCTTCTTTTATTTCTGTTGTTCGGTGTTTACGATCCTTGTGTTGTCCCAGTCCATTATATGGGTTTCTCTTAAGCAATGATCTGTTACGGCTGACTTCTTTATTGTACTTTCTGCTTCTTCTTTTGCTGCTCTTGTGTGTTTTCGACTTGTTTCTTTCTCACACTCCTTTCTATGTTCTATTGTTCGTGTGTTGAGTTGGCGTCCGGTTTCTCCTGTGTATGTTTTATTGCAGAGTTTGCATGGGATTTGATAAATGACTCCACATTTAAGTCCAGCTGGTATCTTGTCTTTTGGGTGTACTAGTCTGTTTCTAACTGTTGTGTATGGTTTTGTTGGTGTGTTTATGTTGTGTTTTTTCATTGTTGCTCTTATTTTTTCTGTTATGCCTTTGATGTATGGTAGGGTTATCACTGTTTTTTGTTCTCTTCTTTTTGGGTTGCTGGTTCTTTGCTTTGGTTGTTCTTTTCTTTCCTTTCATGTTTGCTCGGTGATATAATGTTCTGATTACTGACATTTTGTGTATGGTAGGGTGTTCTGATGTCCATGATAGATATTGTTCTGTGTGTGTTGGTTTTCTATATGTGTTTATGTTTAGGGTCCCGTCGGTCTGCCTGGTTATTTTCATGTCCATAAATGCTATACTGCCTTCTGTTTCTGACTCATAAGTGAACTTTATGCTGCCTGTGTCGTCAATGTTTCAAGTGTTGTGTTAGTGTTTCTGTTTGTCCTTTTGGTATGATTTCCAGTATGTCGTCTACGTAGCTTTTCCATAGTTTTATTTTACAGTTTGGGGTGGCGGTGGCTATGGCTTTTTGTTCTAGGTCTTCCATGAAAAACTCGCACAGGGTGGCTGATAACGGGTTACCCATGGCGAAGCCTTCCAGTTGTTTGTATATCGTGTTGTCGTATGTGAAGTAAGTGGAGTTAACTACCAGTCCTATCAGTTGTGCTATGTCGTCTGCTGTGAGGTTTGTTCTTTTGTGTGAAGTCCTGTCCTGTCTGATTCTGTTAACTACTATGTCTATGGTTTTTTAGATTGGTGTTTTTGTGAACAGGGATGTGACGTCATGTGAGATGAGTATGTCGTTACCTTCTATTGTAATCTCCTTTAGTTCTATTGCAAGTTCTATACTATTTTTGCAGTGTTGGTCTGTGTTCCCTAATAATGGACTGATGATTCTGCTGATTTCTTTTGCCGTGTTGTATGTTGGTGTACCTACTATTGGTCTAAGTGGGGTGTTTTGTTTGTGTATTTTTGGCATTCCATAGATTCTTGGTGTTATGTTTGCTGTAGGAATCCAGTGTTTGTACATTTTCTCTATTATTTTGCCTTTTTCTTGTAGTGGTTTCAGTATTTGTTCATATTTTTCTTAATGCTTTCTGTTGGGTCTTTTTAAAGTATTTTGTATGTATTTTTGTCTTCTAACATCTGTTTCATTTGTTGTTTATATTTTTCTTTGTCCATTACTACTGTGGTTCTTCCTTTGTCTGCCGTAGCGATGGGTACCGAATTCGGTACTTTTTAAGTTACCGACCGAATTCCATAGTACCGACTGAGCACGATTCACGTCATTTGACACGGTGCCTCATTTCGGTACCCGCCCTTCATTACGAGAACTTGCCTAGACAGCTGCGCATGCGCAAGAGCGTTATGTCATCGGTCGCTGCAAACCAGTTGTAAACAGAGCAGCATGGTAGAAAGAACGCACGCTAAAGCTTGGGTCCACTTCACTAAATGTGATGGGTAACTGGGTGATGATGAAACCAGCGGCAACAATCTAAGTGAGACATCCTCATCTTAATCTGCTCTGCTAGGTAAATAAAATGTTTAAGATAATGTTAGCTTGATATGTTAGCTTCCGTTTCGCTAATGGTGCGTTCGCTTTCTCCTCGGAACTCCGAATTTCCGACTAGAAGAACATGAACGCGTATGAACGTGCTCTAAAGTTTGGCATCACTTTACTAAATGCGATGGGTGATTGGGTGAAGATGAAACCAGTGACAGCGATCTAAGTGTGAAGCATCATCATTTTAATCTGCTCCAGCAGTTAAACTGTTTAAGATAACGTTAGCTTGATATGTTAGCTTCCATTGCCACCATTGTTATCAGCTAATGGTGCGTTCGCTTTCTCCTTGGAAATTCTAACTGTGATGATACGAGGGTGGTTAGGACCCAAAATGCAGATACCCAGGATGACACGAGGCAGGAGATGATATATAAAGAAAAATCCTTTTATTTTGATGAGCCAAGAAAATAAAATAAATCTGAAGGCTGGGAGCCAAAAATGTCCAGTTACTAAACTAGAGACAAAACACTAGAGACTAGAGAAAACTGAGATACAAAATACTAGAGAGGACAGAGATCCAAACACTAGAGAAGAGAAGACTGACAGACTACCACAATGGACCGACACAACACAGAGACAAGACAGGGCTTATATACACTGGGGAGGAGCAATTAGGGAAACAGGCAGCAGGTGTGTGGAGTGAGGGCTGGAGGGAAATTAGGTGAATACAATAAGCTAAATGGGAACAGAACCAGAGGAGGGCAGATAAACCCAAAACTATAAAACACAAAACTAAACCTAAAGCCTGAGGGAAGGACTCATACACAAACACATACATACATACACACACTCACACACACACACACCGAGCTGGGGAAGGACACGCATACACACACACACACACACACACACACACACACACACACACACACACACACACACACACACACACACACACACACACACACACACACACACACACACACACACACACCGAGCTGGGGAATGACACACACACACTGAGCTGGGGACAAAGAGGCTGGAGCTACACCTGGAGGGGCTGGGGATGACTGAATGAACAACGGACCTGAGGGGAATGATCTGAAGGACTACAAACAGAAGACACATAAATGAGATGCAGACAAAGGACACATGAGAGCGCTATGAGACACAGAAAGGGGAATCTAGAGAGGGATGGAGAACACCAGGAAACACATGAGGGAAGACGCAGACGCAGACCATGACACTAACTTCCCAGTAGGAAAAATCAAATGAGGAGGA